CCCCCCCCCCCCCCCGGAAAAGGCTCTCACCGTGGACCCTCAAGACGGGCACTCGTGGCTGCTGTTGGCGCGCACTCGGGAGGCGATGGGGGACGTCAACGCTGCCTCCGATGTTTTCAAGAGGGTGCGCTCGTTGATGGTGTTGGTAGCGTAGATATGTTGCCTCTGGTGTTTTGTCTTGCCGCTAGTGTGCCATTTGTTGTTGCCATTTTGGTTGCGTTTTCCTGCTGCTGCCAATTTCGTGGTGGGATCAAACGAAAGAGAATCGATCGCTCGACGTAGCCGCGCGGGCGTTTCTTTACGGCGGAGGACGAGGGCTTGAAATATTGCCCGTGTGGTGCAAATAGGGGCGGTGCGTTTGGTATTGTGTTTTAGGTCGTTGCAGAGTAGGTCGGCAGCAATCGGGTAAAGGTATTCAGCGTCTCCCTGTTTTATTTACATTTCTCGGGTACGTGTCTCAAGGCCTTCCACTCAATCTCTCTCGCACTCTCCCTCTCTCTCTCTTTATCTCGATCGGCAGGCGGTGGTGGAATGTCCGGGAAATGCCCACCTGTGGCAATCCTGGGGTATGCTGCAAGCTAAGGTGAGGGATAGAATTTTCCGGGAATTTTGTCGGTGCTCCCTCGTCCCATCTACGATCTGTGTCGTTTCGTGGGGAACCCTTTCTCCATTTTGGACTCTTGAGAATTCATGTTCGCACAGCAGTCATGCTCCCTGTTTTGTTCGAAGTCCGGTCAGTCTGGTTGTTTGAGGACGCGTTGCTCGTAGAAAATACTCCCGGTTTGTGTTCTGCTTTACAATTTTCACGAAAGGGTCATGTGTTTTGAACCAGCTTGGAAATCAATCGCCCGTGCCTTTATCCTCCTTTCCCCCAGCGCGACCTAACCCAACCCTACATTCCTTGATCCACCCGATGCTTCGGCGCAGTTTGGCGACTGCGCGAAGGCGCGAATAAGCTTCTCAAACGGTCTAGAAGCGGACCCCGGTAATCCGTTCGTGTGTCACGCGTGGGCTCTGATGGAGCAGCGGGACGGGGACAACGATCGGGCTAGAGAGATCCTCGAGGTGGAGAGGGTGCTGCTGGTTGCTGTTGCTGATGCGAATATGTTAAGATGCTGGTGGATCCACGATGGGTTGCTTTCGTTGCTGATGCTGGCGCTGGCGCTCTTGTCTAGGGACTGTCGTCGTCGTTTTTGTGGCAATTGTGGGTGGCTGTGTTTTTTTGGCTTTCGCTACTGCGATGCCTTGCCGTTCCCCGTTCACTCGGTGGTTTCACTGATACATAAATAATCCAAGAACCGTATTGCGAGTTTGTTGCTCTGAGTCGCGTTTGAAGGTCGTCCGTCTGCTTCTCCACAGGGCGCATGCGCTACTCCTCCCCTACGTTCTTGCCGTCGTACTCACAGGTACGAAGTATGACATAATGAGGCATCCCCCGCCGCATTGATCTATGCTTGTATGCATGCTGCACACGCATGCATCTTCACCCCCCCCCCCCCCCCCCCCCCCCCCCCCCCCCCCCCCCCCCNCCCTACAGGGCTCCCGGCAAAGCGTGGCGATTTCCCAAGCCCTCGCGGAGCTGCTGGCCACGCATGGCCAAGTGGAGGAAGGGCGGGGGCTGCTGCAGAAGGCCATGGACCGCCTGGAGAAGGCGGCGTCCGCGCGCTCCAAGCGTAGCGGCGGCGAGGGCTCGCCCGACCCGAGCGCCGCGTGGGCTGCTGCCGGCGACCGGCCCAAGAAACGCTCGGCGGAGGAGGCGGAGGACTCCGACCAGGGTTTGACGGCGCTGCTGATGGCATGGGCGAACTTTGAAGAGAGTGTGAGTTTTTTTTTTTTGTTGTTGTGATCCAGTAATGTTGAACGGAAAGCAAGTGTTGTTTTCCAGTGTGGGACGATAGCGGAGTGCTTCATGAGCGAGCTTGGAAGAGGGTGTGGGTACTCATAGTCGTGCATGCCGTAGTCGTTGGACAATTGACCTCGCATCTCTACAAACCCGAAACGGAGCACGTCGGGTTCTCACCGGACCAGGCTCTCACATTACCAAGCGTGAAGCGCCGTGAGGTACTCGGCGAGTCGCATGGAGGGTGCGATGCATCCTACCAAGGGTGTTCAACTTGGAACAGGGCGTGAATGTTTGTGATGGTGCAATGTTGGGGATTTTGGTTTCCTTTCATGCCTTGTTTGGTGGGTGGGGCAAGGGAGGAAAGAACCCCTTTTCACGGAGGGGGGGTCCCGCTGATATTGTCAAGCTTTCCAAGAGAATCGTCGAGGGTTTTTGTAATTCTACTTGGTAGTGACAACAGAGTTGGTAGCTAAGTGTGTGTATGGTTTCATCTTCTTGGGTTGAAACGCCTGGACCTTCCGCATGTTTCTCCGAGAGAGTGTTCCTACCTCTGCATTTATTCATCACCCTTATGAATTTTTTAAGACCTTTACCTTGCCTAGCGTACGAATCTCCCCATCTCACCTACAACGCAAGCCTCATTTTGCCCCCCCGACACCAAGCTTGACGTTCTCATCTCCGCTCTCTCTCATTCGACGTTTTTTGTTTTTGTCACGCACGTTTGTTGTTTTTTTGTTTCTCTGTGTGCACTTGGTGCAATTATCATCATGCTGCCGCAGAGAGGAAATGAGAAGCGAGCGTTGGAGCTGATGGCGAAAGCCATGGAAAACGAGCCTGACAACGCAAGGGTGCGTGCGTGTCCGCTTCGTGTGTGCGTTTTTTTTGTGTACGATGTGTTTTGGACGTTGACGAAAGAAGCCGTTCCGCCCGACATTTTCTGTGCTGATCCTGAAGATTTTTGAGTCTGCGCGTTTTTCGAGTAGCATGGCGTCGAGCGCACTATCCGGTTGACCAATGATATTTGTGACTACACTAGAAACACAGCCATTTATGCGAAGGTGTACCGATTCTGATATTGGCCATGCGATTGACACCCTGTAAACCGGGTCATCCTTATCTCTGCTGTGTGTCTACTCTATGCAGGAGGGGCCAACCTGTCATCGGCAGGTGACACAGCTCCCATTGTATACTGCTTGGGCCGAATCGATGACATGACTGACGATAGACGTGTGGTGTTTGTGTCCCCTTGCCCGCCCTGTTGAGAGTCGAGAAGAATATGACTTGCTCCGCAGGGGGTGAGAGCCAGACGGAACTCTGTTGATGAGTACAAGAAGTTTATTGGCTTTTCCTTGTCGGCCCATCTCTTGATTATTGTACACCCGCCTTGAGCAGCGAAAATCATCCTAGGATGCTCCAAGCGCACAAGTAATGCAGCCGTCAGGGCAGAATTGGGGATCCAATCCCTACGGTCGGGAAGAGACGCGAGGAAGCTGACATGGCAGTATCGCATGTGCGGGATGGGAGAGGAGAGGTTGCCGAGAATTGTATGGGAGGCGAAGTGGGCAAACAAAAAGAGGGGNCGGTCTAGAAGTGTTGAAGGAAGGAATAGGGTTCAAGCACTACCTACATGGACCAATGGATNAACGGTAGACGACGAAGCCGACAAGTTCAAATGTGATTGCGGCTTCGAATGCGAAGACCGTGTTCAT